GGGGGAGGAGGAGGGGGGGGGGGAAGTGAAGATGTGGGGGAAGGAACCGAAGGCATCACCTTTTACTTGAGTGCCAGCTCAAACTGCTGCCCTTTTCCTTACCAGGACAACTTTCATTGTTTTTCCATTTTTTCTCAACTTCACTACCGACTTGAAGGTTCATGTTGGGTGAACCGGTCAAAAGGCTACACTGAAATGAGTGAGGCCCCACCACTTCGCGCCCCGCCCACATCTGTAATGCATCTTCAGCATCAAAAGCCGATTTGATACAGTTGAGTTCGGAAATAATGAGATACAGATCATCGGTAATACCACAAAATTGGAGCGTTGTGATGGTGAACAGGAACATGTCTTCACGTTTATCTCGAATCTATAAATGGAGTACATATAACTGAAGGTCTACAGCAAAAAATTTTTTGGATGAGCTGATGATCTTCTTCGATTCACAAAGAGATGCACAGCATCGTCGTTTGGCTGAACGCTCAGACGTCGAACCGAGGAACCGGCTGCGACCGCGACACCCGACTGCCTGAAATCTCTCTTTATATTCTAAACACAGTCTCATAACAGAAGGGCTATACCTTCGATGGGAATGGGGCGCCACGACCACACTTCCTCTTTTCATTGGCAGTATCTCTCCAGCTCCTTCCATAGCGGAACCTCGTCTACCGAGCGAACCTACCGCGATGGATTTTCTAGAAGACACGGATTAAGAATCCATAAGCAGAGCTTGTCATTTCTATTGATATACATTTCTAAGTGAACCGACCGATGTTGTTGGAAGTTCGGGAGGAGGTTGGTTATAGTGCCTTCCATTGTGGAACCACGTCGGGCTAGAGCACCAAGCGCTAGTGACTTTCTAGAATAAACTGATCGTTTTATACTCAGTTTAAGAATCATAGCATACAACTTATTTTGAGGATCCGATATTTAGTTTGATGTATTCAGCAGAAAATAAACAGCTGACCGTAACTCGATTTGGAAAATATGCATTTGGGTTTCCTTGTATTCAAAAGTAGGCCGAACATTGTGGCCTAATTTGAAGATTCAAAAAATCTCCGTCAACTTGCACATGCAGTCATCCATGGTGAACGCAGCTCTCTAAGTGCAGAATGAAGTATAAACAGCATTTTTGTGACACTGCTAACTGTAATACAATTATGAGAAGCGCCCCATGTGCTCGACTCCCATTTGGGGTCGTAGGGACGTTTGGAGCATACTTAACCCATGTGCCGAATTCCGAGAGCCTATCATTTGTCAAGTTGGCTCTTTTACCTTTTCAGAAAGCGGAAGTTCGATAGCCTTGCCGAGAGATCGATAAGGAACTTGATTCCCGGACCATACATGGTTCTGACATCATGGTATTATACTACCCCCTCCTCGCCACAAACGCAACGCAATGGGTCTAATTGTCTAGTTCCTCAGCTTTCGATGCAGTCTTTAGAGATACCATGAAGTTGAAAATATGCCTGAAATCAGGGAGAGACAAGATGGGTTTCAATGGAGACGCTGCTGCTGTCCGACGATGACCAGCTAACCTACGTGCAATATGTATATTACGATGTCAGGAAAAAAATCTGCTGAATAATTACACATAAGTCCAGGCATTTTTTTCTGGAATGTTTCAGAAGTTCCCATAGGATTACAAGGTCAAACTATCAACAAATGTTTGGGAATGCCGGATTCAAACTTGTGAAACAGTACGTGTTCGGTATGGGTGGACAGCTCGGTCACTATATGGGTAAAAAAGCAGGAGAGGGTAGGCGCGTGGGTGCGCCTTGCATAGAGTTCCCATAGGAACTTCCAGTGAACCCCGAGAGGAACGAGGACCCTGAGGTATCGAGAAAACTTCAACAAATACTTTCCTAAACACAGACCCAAAGCATAAGTACATGACTGGCCGCATGCGCATAAGGACACCATAATCGATAGTATTGATCTTTGAAAACTGCTATAAAATTTCTATTAACTACAAATGTTAGTCAATTGTCAAGCTGTTTAAAAAAGTTTTCACCTTTTTGACAGTACAGTGCGATGAACACCAGACTCGTGCGTCCGAACAGGAACATCTCGAAAAGACAACTGCAAAGGAACGATATAAGAAACTTGTTGAGGGAGAGTAATGATGATTTGTCACGATGAGGAGATCTTGAAGACCTG